TGAAAGGCTGTATACTGAGACAAAAACTATCTCCTCTAATTAGGAAGTCTCATCTAGGGAGAACATCCTAATCTGGATTTTTAAACACCAGCCTGTCTCTCCTTCTCGTAGTGCTAGCATCAGTAAGACTGAGCGTGCTAACGACCCTTTACACACTTTCTGTAGAGCAATTCTGATAACCTTATTCCTCACTTTCCTCTCACCCTCGACAGAAGATGCTGAAATGCTTCAATCTTGCCCCCTTTGGTAGTACACCAACCTCCAACATTTGCCAGACTCCAAAAAAGTAATGCATGCCCATCTTTTTTTTTTTTTTTTGCTTAAGCACAGGTTTATTTCGTATTTCACTTGGCTAGCTATTCTTCAGCAGTTTACTCATCCCACTGCCTGTTTACCTTTGGACCTACTGATGCAGACTGGTATTAACCTGGGAGGTACAGTCTCAGCTCTATCGTTTATAGAGGATGGCTTCTATGTAACCTTCTCTTTTGTATCTGGGGCACCTTCATGCTAAGGTAACAGGCAATACACGCAGGCTGAAGAGAAACAGCTGGGCATGTACTAGATTTGAATAAGGTAACGAAGGCTTGAGTTGTTAAATGAATGGTGTGATTGCTACTAAACGTTCAATGAACGGTGTGAAAGCAAGGATGTGACCACTACTAAATGACAGTACACTTGGGGCACCTGTCATTGAAAACCAGCCAGTTTTAATAGGTAAGCTGCCTTCTCAGGCACAAGCAGCAGTCAGTGGACTAAAGCCCCACAACCAAGAAGGGGCAATAGAGAACTGGTACAACCCCTGCACAGGCACAACTTTATACTCTATTATACTGCTATCGTATAATACATTCCTGGCATTTTTGCTGCTGCTGAAGTATAAACCAGCAACAAGGAGCCGCTGTGCGTACGATTCTTCTAAGGCTGGGAATAAAAAATTAATAACATTTGATCCTATAGACACTCAGCTATTAAAAAAGAACTACTGAAACACATGAAAAACCACTAAAATCTTAAGCCCTTTTTATGTCAAAAACCTTTTAAGAAAGATATTGGGAAAAATTTAGCCCAAGTGGAGAATATACAACTGTACTAAAAATATTCTTGTCTTGTTTGCAGAGAAATAAAACAGCCATGTGATGTTTCACAATCACAGCAAGCCTTCAGTCAGGCACTGCTAAATGTAACCAGGGTAGGTGTAGTGGCTTGCCACCTGAAATCACAGGGGTTCAACAGACAGCCAGGAGCTGCATCCCATTACACAGCTCAGTGAAAACTCTCCAGTGCAGAGAACACTGGCTTTGATGACTCTTGTGCTCAGACTTCATCCTCAGCCTCCTGCCAGATTTGCCCCATCTTCTAAAAATCAGAAACTTTTACCAATTCTAGTCTTTCACATCTTGTATTTTCTTGAGAAGAATTAAGGACAATGGATTTGTGTTGGGACTGTGTTATTAAGACATTCCTCAAAGCAGTCAAATCCTCAAATCCTAAGAGAAACTTATTTTAAAAAAATCTTTTAAAAATACTGTAATATAATAAGCTTACAAATGAAGTGATCTGTCTATAATCTCTATAATTTTTCCAAGATTTATCTGGCTATCAGCAAAACATCCCAGTTCCCCTTTTATTTTCTGCCTTCTTTCTATCATTATGTTGAGTAATTTTTTCCCATTATACTATTTCACTCTGTTCACAACATTTTCCCTGGAAAAGAGACAGTTGTTAGACACCTTAGGAAGCAAAAATTATTATGTTAAAATACCCCTGGGAAATGAAAAGCATAAGCAAGCAGGAGGTAAATTTTTTGGCTAAATTAAAATGTAGTCTACCCTTTCTGTTTGGGGTATCAATTTCAAGGTTTTTAATGGAGAAATTCTCTACACATGTTGGACTATGATTCCGAATCCAGACTGTAAAATAGACAACACATACAGTTTACCTACAAAATCCAATGTAAACAGAAGTTGCTGTTTCCCTCATCAGAGGCTGGAGTGCTGCACCATGCCCTTCTACAGCAGCACCAAGAGAAGGGTGCGAACTCTTGGGCAGTGTGAAAGCAAAACTGAAGCTGCAGCATGACTTCTAGGGCACCACACAAATAAAATTGGACAACAGGGTAGGAAACACGGCCACAGAGGGACTTCATACACTGAAAAGGCAGAAATGCTGCCATGCAACTTGGGCATAGACAGACCTTTTTTGGAAATTGCACAAAGACTGAAGTGGTGTAAAACATCAGAAAGTTATCCATACTCTCTGCCCAGTCACAATCATACTAATTAATTCTCCTGCTAATTAAGCATTTTTCACTTGGTTTCCACTATATTTCTATAAACATACACTACCAACTCTCTCCTTTCTCTCTGCTGAGTACTTGATAAGGTCACGAGTACATCCACCGAGACCAAATATTTCTATATATAGAAATAATTTCCTGTGGAATTAAGTGCACTTGCCTGGGTATCTAGTTCATACTAAACTTAATTTAGCTGATTTTCCTCGTCTATTATATCCATTATTAGGGACAGTATACGCTGCCAGCTGCAGCATTAACTATCAAAGACAGAAACTAATTATCTAATTATGTGGCAAGGATGAGTTCCTCCTCGAGAACATTCACAATCAGACGCAGACAATCAAGTAAACTATCACAAGGAAGAACTGGTTCCTCCAGCCAGCCATTTTACACACTCCTCCTTTTTTTAAAGGAGGTAAAAGAAAGGTAGCGTATTCTAGGAATATCAGTTCTCAGTAACCATTCCAAATACATCCCATGCAAGTGAAGCAAACACTTGAACAGGTCCTGTCTCAGGCAAAGTGTGGTAGATAATATGAGTTGATTATGAATGTGTGAAATAAAATAAAATACTTTAGGGAAACAAAGTTGAGTTTCTGGATGTGCTGTCTCCTAGGCCTCTCCACCCCAAAACAGGATTCAGGGAGAGGAGGAACCACCAGTAGTGGAAGAGAATCAAGTCATGGAGCTCTTAAGAAGTCTCAACCCGTACAAGCCTGAGGATGCAGAGGGAGGAAGCCAATATCACTGCAAGGCTGTTCTTTATCATTCCTCTCCTTTTTGAAAGGTTGTGGAGAATGAGGGAGGTGCCCTATGACTGAAGAAAGGTGATTGTTATACCTGACTTCAAAAAGGGCAATAACAAGCCATGGATCTACAGGCTGGTTAGCCTCACTCTGCTTCCTGGAAAAACCACAGGGCAACATTCTCTCCGAAGCTGCTTCTGAGCACACGAAGGTGAAGAAGGTGATCAGGACCAGTCAGCATGGACTTACCAAGGGTAAACCATGTCCAGCCAACCTGGTTGCCCTAAATGACAGTATGACTGGTTCTGTGATTGAGGGAGAGCATTGGATGTTGTCTACCTTGACTTTAGTAAGGCTTTAGATACTTTCTCCTACAGCATCCTGGTACATCCAAGCTGGGATGTTATAGCCTAGATAGGCAGACTGTTAGCTGTGTGAAAAATTGGCTGGATCATCAGACTTAAAGGCCAGTGGTTAACAGTATGTATCTACCTGTAGGCCAGTTACAAGTGGAGTACCTTGCTTAACACCTTTTATCAGTGGCCTGAAGGAGGAAAAAATACGCACCCCCTTCAACCCTCAGATGATACCCAGCTCAGAGGTGCATTCAATACCCTTGAGTGCAGGGCTGCTGTCCAGAGGGCCTTAGGCTAGAGGGAGGAACGGGCCAACAGGAGCCTTATGTGGCTCAGAAAGGACAAATGCCAAGCCCTGCCTGTGGGAAGGAAGAGCCCCTGGCTATGAGACAGGCTGGGGACTGGCTGCCCGGGAAGCAGCTCTGCTAAAAAGGACCTGAGGACAGCAAGCTGAGCACCAGCCAGCAGCCTGCCCTGGCAGCAGAGACGGTCAGCAGCATCCTAAGTCATACCAACAAGAGCCAAGCCAGCAGATCAGGCGAAGCGGTTATCCCCATCTAGATACAGTCTAACACAGCTGGGCAACGCGTCCGGTTTTGGGCCCCACGATACAAGAAAACGTCGACAAACTGGCACGAGTCCAGAGGAGGGCCACCAAGGCAGTCAGGGGGCTGGAGCACCTGCCCTGCGAGGAGAGGCTGAGGAAATGGGGCCTGTTCAGCCTGAGAAGAGAGGGCTCTGGGGGACCGCAAAGCCGCCCGTCAGTGCCTATGGGGAGGGCCGCTGAGACGAGGGAGCCAGGCTCTTTGCCAATGTGCATCCAGGACAATGAGCGATGGTGGCCGTGAACTGAATCAGGAGAGGTTCTGACTTGATATGCCTGGGGGGATGCCACTGTGAGGACTACTCAAACACTGGACTCGGCTGCCCAGAGGGAGGCTGTGGAACCTCTGCTCTCGGGCCCAGCCAGACAATGGCCTGAACAACCTGGTCGGAATTCACTATCAAGTCTGCTCTGAGCAGGAGGTTGGACTGAAGGTCTCCTGAGGTCCCCTCCAGCCCGCAAGGTCCTTCCCACTTGCAGCCAGAGACCAAAACTGCAACCCCTAGCGCTAGGCAAACTGAACAAGACGTTTTTTCTTCTCCTCACGAGGAATGACAGCCTCATCTTGTTTAAAAGACCTGGAGACAAAATTTTTTTTTTTAAACGGATTCCACTGCAATGACTATTTTCTACTTATCATAGCCTTCCAGGCGCATTTCTCAACATTTAAGTTTTTATCAACATGATGATAAGATCAACAGTATTACCTCTACAGCAGGCTTGGTCTGAAACAGGAGATGTGACCCTGGTCAGGATTTATATACAGATTTAGAGGGAATAGGCTTACCCCATATCTACTGTCTACTGTGTTCTGCTCTGGTGTATTCAATGTCATTCTTAGTTTACAGCTGCAAAAACAGCAACCATACTACTGGCCCAGTGGATTTCTTGATATCCTTCGGAAAGAAGTTTTTAGACCCAAAACGGACAGCTATTTTCAGAAGACCTCCAAACAGTCATAATTAAATAAATAAATAAAGGGAGCATTTACTTACTTATTCCTTGAAAAAGTTCTTCAATGTTAACAGCATTCTTTGCACTGGTTTCAACAACAATTGCACCTATAGATTCTGCATATTCTTTGGCATCCTTCATAGGAACCTCTCTAAAAAAAAGAAAAAAAAATTTACAAATAAAAGAAACCAAATTTAAAAAAAAAAATTAATTTTGGATAAAAAAAAGTCCCAAAACAAAAAAAAACACAAGAAAAAAAAAGACCTCAGACACAGCTTAATCAGAAAAGCATTAGTATGCTCTTTTTCCCCTGCTAAAGTAGTACTGTCTTTCTTCTTATTACGGCATTTAGATCATCATATTCAAAATATCAAAATTTCACCAATGATCGGTCTGCAGATTTCTTGGACTTGCTGCTGAATCCATGCCTTCATGGATAAAAGGAAGATAATTTAAACGACAACCCCATTTGTTTGATTTTTTAAACTCAATCCCAATAAGAAAAGCATTAAAACACTAGAGAAAAGCCATACAACTCTGCTGATCCAGGCAGCAGCCAGCATTGTCCACACCAAGTGTTCAAACAAGATAGCATATGGCTGTTGTGGAAGAAAATGATAAGAGCATCGTATGTCTAAGTGTTTGCAAGCAGCAAGAAAACAAGAGAGATTCTGAAAGAGATATGAAAGCCACAGACTCTGAGCACATTGGCAAGAGCAATCTGGGAGTGCCAGATTCACTGGGGAAAGACCAGCATTCTGTGCCATGTCACCAAAGTGACACCATCTTAAAATCACTGGTAGAACATCCTCATTTTGTAGCCAATACTTCATATGCCAAAAGCTGGTAAATGCAGTTTACAACATGCAAAAGACCTCTGCTTCAGACACAAAGCAAGCCCCACACTGACCTTGTATCTGCCTGAGCCAGGTGGCAAAGCTGAATCTGCCTGCGTCCGCTGCTGTCTGTAACCATTGCTATTCCTGATTTTTGAGCAACAGCTCAGAATCAGAGACTGAAAACGCTAAGAGGCACCCAAGGTACACCCAATCAGGGGACGTTGGAATATGTTGGAACACCAGGCTGCCAGCCCTATTTTTCTTCCAGTTGTTCAAAATGTCAACTGGTGTATTTTGTATGGCTTTATAGCTGTCTGTTGCTCATGCAGAATTTGCACCAACTCCTTCACCCCACAGCTCCGAGGAACCAATCCAGAGACTCCTAGTACAATTTCCTCCTAGTATGAGTGCCTTGGACTTTAACAGAAGGGACCTAGGTGGGAGCAGAGCAATGCATTTTCACAATTAGTTTATGGAGGTATATATTTTAAATAAATCAGATCTGCTGCTTATGGGAAACATGCAGAGAGGCAAAATAATTGCCTGATTTACTACAAATGGTTTTCAAAAAATTAGCTTGCAATTCCAGCATCTGGATTCAGAGCTTGTTTCCATTATGTGCTTCTTTGTATTACATGTCTTTTTGTCGCGGAAGATGCAGAAAAGGCAGCATTCCCCTTACTATTTCCGAAATGGCACGCTGGCCTTTATTATGAAAGGTACCACCATCTGCAGATGGCCCCGCAGATAAGAAAAAAGGAACTTAAAACTACGTAACATAATATTCAAACAACAGTAAAGAAAGAAATTTGAGAGCATAGGGCTATGTAATGAGAACTTTCAACTTGCTGTAATTTAGGTGAGAAAGCAAGCTTCAGGAATCAAGGGAAAGGTAAAACAGCAGCAAGTGACAATTCCAAGGAAGCGTCACAATACTTCTTAGCCTTCTCTGATAACATTTCTAAAGGAAGCCTATAAAAGTCCACAGCACGTGGACAATAAGCATCATGCCATCCAGTGCTGCTGGCACCGAGAAGGCCGCATACATGGCTGCATACATCAAGTGGAGTTATAATCTGGATGTCAACATTGCTCAGATGCTACCTTGTCAAAAATAAAAAGCACAAATGCTTGAACTCTAAGCTGAGAGGTGAACACACACAAGATGGGGGTGAAGAGGGAAGAAGTCAAGAACCATCAATGGAGTGCTGAGAAAGTGTTATTCCAGGGCTACGGGGAAAGTTAGAGGGATTCCTATTCTGAAAGATGTCAAATATTTCATTTTATCCTTTCCAAATCATTCTATTGATTCAGTCTCCCTTGAGACTTTCTGAATAATTACTGAATAAAGAGGTATTCTGGATGCATAGAGGGAAGGTTTGAGCATGAAATTCTGCTGCATTCTCTTAACCAAGAATCTGGCAATTTCCAGTGAACATGATTTGTTAAGAAGGTGCACCATGTTTTCAGGGAAGTAAACACTTCTTTGTTGCTGTTATGACTACTGACTTCTATAATGCTCAAAAAATATTTTGGTCACTTACAACATTTTAACATTGAAGTCTCAGCTCCTGTCTTTGAAACTACTTTTTAATGACCTGTCAGAAGGACAGGACACATATCAGAACGAAAAGTCTATTACTATTACTTAAAAGTTTGCCAAACACTCAACAGTACTAGAGTTGACAGTACTGTAACAAAGATGAGGATTTATACTAAACAAAATTCCCTGTCTACCTGTAGAAATTCCTTCAAAGTGGAGAAGAAATTTACTTCAACAGAGTGCCAAAAATTGCTGGTAACCTATTAATAACACTAAGAAAAGAAGCATGATTCCTGCGCATCCCGAATCCATCTTGGCAGCTCAAAACCAAATTTTAGATGCTAAATGAGAAGGATAACATGGTCAGTGATTATGAGAAATAGTGCCAGTCCCTTCCCAAAGGAAGATAATCAGTTCTTATTGCTTCCATTCATTCCTTCCTTACATTATCTCCTACAGTCATAGAGATGGCAGAATCAAATCAACTTGAAACGGGTCAGCTTGTCCTCTTTTGCATCTATTCACATTGGTCTTAAAAGCGGCCGTCCCTCTGATATCCAGCAAAACATCTGTGAAAAGTTCTACAAAACCAAAGACAGATGCCAAAAATGCATACAAACAGCAGCTTGTTCCTGTGTGTTTGCATCATCTTATTTTTAAATTCTCTGTGCCCAAAGGCATGTGTATTTTCTACCCATTGGAAACAATCTGATAAATTGGTGACACATTTCACCCGAAATCATTTTTACTGAAGTAAAATTGAAGACACAAAGCAGCCAGAGAATGCATACAGCTGTATGTATTGCATAAACAATCAGATTTCTGGAAGAACTGTGAAAACATATCACATGCAAGATAGTCTGCTCTCTGTTTTTCCACCAAAATCTCTTTAGCTGGACATCACTGGATGACTTCAGAAACAAAAAAAGCTGGGGGATGCAGAAAGAATAATGGCATGAAAAAAATAATTCTCAAAACTATTCATAATTATGGGGAGAAAAAAGTCATCGTGTCTGCCCCCCCCCCCAAAAAAGAGACATTAGCTAATGGACAATGAGGACCATGCAAACACCAGAACATTTTGTGTACAGAAGAGTTGTACTGGCTGAACAGGAGCAAGAAACAGATAATCAGCAATCTGTAAACAACAGGTAGTGTTTGAGAATAACATGGTGGGAAGATCACAGTTGGTCTGTGAGGAACCTCAGTATTCTCACAACATTTCTGGCGTCCAGGTTCTTCTTTGTGTCCCCAAGTTAACCTGCCTCTAGTGGAACAGCATTTAAAAGCTTGCTGCCATGGCAAATACTACCAAAAGCAGGGGGAGGGCTGGTTATGGATTCATTTGTAATTGGTGCCATTTGTTACAATCTCCAACTTAGTACCCTTGATTTAATCAGGCAATTGTATTGCTGGGAACACTTAAGCAATAAATTTAAAGTGACTCTCAGAGCAACTGAAAACTCCCATTTGTGCTAAGTGGTTTTTGGTTTTATTTTTATAATCATCCTTTCCTCTTTTTTTCTACTTCATATTTGGAAATGTTTAGTTTTGTCTTATAGGACTTAGTTTCACCATGTTGACAAGCATATCACATCATCATATAGGAGACTGCCAATATACTATCTGTGTCCCTGATTCTTAGCCCAACAGAAACCAGGAGTCTTCTAGCATCAGGGCTTGTTCAGGTCTTAGAGGAAGCAGTGACTCACAGTTTTATGTTGGTTCATGGCTGACTCACACACACACACAAAAAAAAAAACCAAAACCACACAGGTCCAATCCTTGTATATGCCTTGATGCAATAAAGCACTGCATCACTTACTTGAAGTTACACATGTGCTTCAGGGCTCTGGTGAACCTGGGCCAAAGTAATGATTATAAAACAACAGGGGGATATCTTTAAACAACCATGAGAGCCTATGAGGTTCTAAGAGGAAAGCATCAAATACAGCCATTGAGTCTGTACTCTTAGTTGAAGAAATAACAGTGATGGACTGACACAAAGGATTGCTACTGTACAGCAAAATGCGCTTCCACTTGCAGAACAGATAAGTGCAAAGCCAAAAGAGAGCTAGCAAGCAGAAAAGTGACTCTAGCTTCACTCTCATCTCAAATAGCATCATCTTGGCTCTTCTGCAGGAGGGCAGATTCAACCCTCTCCTCTTATACCCAGGAGGTTCTTTGCTTCACACAGGTGATGCAAGTTTTACTTGAGGTTATGCTCTTAAAACACCAAATATACACTTTCTACATCCAGTATTATGGAACAGTTTCAGTTGTTGCAAAGCACAAAGCATGAGTTCTCAAAGCTTCTCTACGAATAACATTATTCTACCTCGGGCCCATCCTTCTAGCTTTGCATTGCTGGTTTTGCTCATTGCTTTAATACATTCTGCACCTTTTAACATGAATGGAAGGAAAACAAAGAGTATACTTTTCCATTCCCAATGATTCAGCAGCTAAAGGGTGTAGATTGTACAAATACACAGGAAGGGCAGTAAAAGAGAGGTTAAAAAAAGTACATAATTCAAGTTGTGCTGCTGCTGGTGAGGTTGTACATTGGTAGAACCACTGGTGTTAGGAAAGACTCAATACAGCTGACCAAAACTAAATACTATTATAACAATCAAACAAATTGGTTACCTGAAAGAAGGAAACACTATAGTTACTGCAATAAAAGCAACAATGAAAATGGATATATTACCTGATATCAGAAAGATCACATTTGTTTCCAGCGATGGCCATTACAATGTTTTCAGGACCATGTTCCTTTAGTTCTTTCACCCATTTCTTCAAAGTATGAAATGAATCCTAAGTCAGAGAAATAACAAATATACTAACACCCTAGCCTCTGTTGATGTATTTGCTTATTTTTTGAAGTTAGAGGAACACAGCTTTGACAGTATTAATGCAATAATAATTTTATAGATCATAAGACCAAAAGAAGATCACTATATCTGTGTAATCTGCTTTTCAAACTTCAGGTCAGAAGACTCCCTCAAATTAATTCTTGAACTTGGACACTTCCCCTTTGGCCCTCCTCCAAAGCAGCACTGAATGTTTTTTTTTAAATTCTCAGCGATGAAGAAACAACCACAGCTCTTTTAAGCTTGGCTAGTAGCTAAGTTCCTTCACTTTCAATGTGAGCTTCATTTGTCCAATTTCAACTTCTGCCCAGTGGATTACCATCTCAACCACTGTCATATTTTTGGTAAGATCCAGGGGAGCTTTCACTGTGACCCCCTCCCGCCAGCGTTTCTGAATCTGTGATCTGGTAAACTGCGATTTACTCATTATGAAACCAGAGACAGGTACCAATTCACTTGGCTTTTTCCCTCCAAATACAAAATTCAAACACTTTTTGATGCTACTTACCTTTTAATAGTAAATTTTCTATTTCTTTACACTAATGAACTAATAGCATTAAAATCACTTTTGTTCCTAGAGATTCTAATTATAATGCATGATTGAAATCATTACTGAAACTCAAAGTGAGCTCTCAAATACATTATAAATCATTTTTTTCCCCTTCAGAAATGCACATAAGAGTTGTGTCTAAATCAGCAATGGCTGTATCAGTATCACTGAAGGGAGAGCACTATCTGTCATTTGGGAAAAAACCATCCATTCTGCTTTAATGATCAACACTGAATATTAAGCATCAGAAAGTGAAATACACATTCCTCTGCTATTTTCCCCTCTTTATTCTGAGAGCTGCTCCACATAAGCTTGAAGAAAGGTTGGCAAAACAAAATTCTACTCTTACAATGCATTACAAGATCAACTGTAAGATATTTAAATTAAAAATAAGTATCAACCCACTCTTTCTCATCTTTTTTTGGCAAACTAGCAAAGGAGAACAGTACCACTGTGCAACAGTGGCCACCATCATCAGCCACAGATCATTACACTAATGCATTGGAGAACCAACCCAGCTCTCTCAACCTAGTAGTAAATAATTCAGTTGGCAGGAAAGGAATAAAAAGCTAGTGAACTGTCATGATCATCCATCCATTAACACCTCCTCTAACTCAGCTTTATCAGCAGGGATTTCTTTCAAAAGCAGTGGAAGAGGCATTCAGCTAGAACCTCCTAGCCACCTCTGCCTGAGAAATGAGCAAGAGCAGTTTAGGATCTGAACAAACAATTTTGATTCCAAATGAAGAATGTCGAGACAAAGGTCAGAGACTTATTATTTCATCACTGGTTTCAAAGTTAAGAAATGAGTCCTGCAATGCAAACATGAGAAGATATGCTTAGTTAAAAATAATTAGTGTTAAAATCAGTAATATGTGAACAACTGCATTTCTGTTCAGTTGATAAAGCAGCCAGCTGCTCTTTGCAGTAAAAATTCAATTCTGTACAGAGAACATAGGTGGTAGTGGTGGTGGGACGGGGTACTGCAGGATATTATCCTATCTAGTTAGCCAGAGGAAATCCAAAGAAACTTTGACAAAATGTAGCCTCCAACCTTTTGTCTAGATGACATTGAAATAACACAGAAGCAGGACTTTATATTTAATTTTTTAAGGCAGTTGGATGCCTCCATCCAAATCTACACAAACTACCAAAGCATATAAACCCCACTGATGTGAACAGGGACTAACATACAAATACTTCTGGGGTTTTAACTCCAACTCTGGCCCAAGCAGAGGATTTAACACAGACGAAAAGTGTACAGAAGGTCTTACCTGTTTGGTGATATCATAAACTATCACGGCTGCTGCTGAACCTCGGTAGTACATTGGAGCCAAGGAATGAAACTGTTAAAACATAATCCCCACAACAAAAAATATCATTAATAAATCAGAATTATCACACACTTCGTCAGGTCACAAAGACTTGCCATGGCAGGACCTCTGACTTTCTTTCATGCCATACAGAACAGACCTCTTCAGTGGTCACCCACCTCTCATTTTCCTTAAATGACAAGGAGGCAGAGCTCCCTTATCTCCTGCTGTTCTTCGTCCCACTGGATTTACACAATCAGCACTTACTGGTTCAATGCGTCTTTTCCATTACAGGACATGGACTCTTAGGACAAGTTTGGACACGAAGATGACCTACACTTGGAGGCCTAACCTGGTAGCATACAGACCCCTTCCCCTGGCAAACTGCAACATTTTGCTTTGTAGTTTTAAAAGACTGGATTCAGCTTGAGTTTGAGTTTTATAAAACATTGCAAATTACTTGGATAAAATTAACTTGTCAGAAAACTCTAAACACCCGTCCTGTTTACTTATCCTATACTATGACAGATATTTTGAAAAACATGGGTTCTTGCAGTTTAAGTTACTCTTCAGCTTTTTGTTTCAAAGGAAACATCCTTTAAGGAAAAAAATCCAAGCAATAAATACGTTTATTATAACAACAGCTTGCCAATGAACAGCATAATTTTCATAATTTACCATGACTAAGCAGCTGATTTAGAATTTCAGCTTATAATTACACAGAGAAAGGAAGTCAAAAAGCCCTTCTGCTGATTCAACTAAACCTAGTCTTAAGCAAACCAAAAATAATCTTTCTTGGAAAATACATTTAGTCTCACTGCACTCGCGCAGCCATTTTACAAATTTTCATTTGCAAAGTGATCTGCAAAAGCTTCATATAAAGCTGCAGCTAATAACTGAGGTCAACTCCTAAATCAAACGCATTATTAGGGCAGGGTATGAATCTCACTGCCCAGTGAACATACACGGATCCATGTGTTATGTTGCAAACCTCTGCAGATTTACTGGACACTTCTTTTTCTCAGAACTGTACTTACAGACTGAGCATTTAGACCTAGCAGCCTTCACATTTCTTGCTGTTTCACATACAATGTATAAAGCAAGTTATTTTTAATATTGGTTCATTTGCCAGTTTGTAAGCTATTTATCACAGATCACACACTCCAGCTCAAGGTCAATACTTTCTCTTATGACAGTAAGGATGCACAGCAGCAGTGACAGATGGTCAAGTGCTGAAGTGTTTTGGAGAGCAAGGCAGGTGGGAGAGCTCATTAATAGGAGAAAACAGCAGGAAGGAGGATGAGAAAAGAAGAAGATTCAGTCAAGAAGCATGGTCTGAAGAAAAGGGATCAGCTAACATCCTCAGGGAGTTGGGTAGAAGAGTGCTTTCCAGGCTTTTAGTGTGTGGCTTTATTACTTGCAATAAATGCTTTCCAGAATTTTTAAGGCTTCCAGATCATGAAATTTCCAGAAATTTCCAGTGTTTTAGAATAGACTAGACTATTTCAGTTGGAAGGGACCTACGACAATCATCTAGTCCAATTGCCTGACCATTTCAGGGCTGACCAAAAGTTAAAGCATGTTGTTAAGGTATCCTGGTTTCAGCTGGGATAGAGTTAATTGCCTTCCTAGTAGCTGGTATAGTGCTATGTTTTGGGTTCAGCATGAGAAGAATGTTGATAACACACTGATGTTTTCAGTTGCTGCTAAAGTAGTGTTTATACTAAGTCAAGAATTTTTCAGCTTCTCATGCCCAGCCAGCAAGAAGGCTGGAGGGGCATAAGAAGTTGGGAAGGGACACAGCCAGGGCAGCTGACCCAAACTGGCCAAAGGGGTATTCCAGACCATGTGACATCACGCCCAGTATACAAACTGGGGGGAGCTGGCCTGGGGGGATCGCTGCTCAAGAACTAACTGGGCATCAGTTGTCAAGTGGTGAGCAATTGCATTGTGCATCACTTGTTTTGTATATTCCAATTATTTTATTATTGTCATTTTAATATTGTTATTATTATCATTATTATTTTCTTCCTTTCTGTTCTATTAAACTGTTCTTATCTCAACCCACAAGTTTTACTTCCCCCGCCTCCCCTCCAATTCTCTCCGCCATCCCACTGTGGAGGTGGGCAGGGAGTAAGCAGCTGCAGAGTGCTTAGTTACTGGCTGGGGTTAAACTATGACATAAGGGTATTGTCCAAATGCCTCTTAAACACTGACAGGCTTGGGGCATCAACCACCTCTCTAGGAAGCCCGTCCCAGGGTTTGACCACCCTCTCGGTAAAGAAATGCTTCCAGACATCCAATCTGAACCTCTCCTTGCTGCAGCACTGAACCATTCCCACGCATCCTGTCCCTGGATCCCAGGGACAAGAGCTCAGCACCTCCCTCCCCACCTCCCCTCCTCAGGAAGCTGCAGAGAGCAATGAGGTCTCCCCTCAGCCTCCTTCTCTCCAGACGAGACGAGCCCAAAGTCCTCAGCCGCTCCTCAGAGGACATGCCTTCCAGCCCGCTCACCGGCTTGGTTGTCCTCCTCTGGACGCGCTCAACGACCTTCACATCCTTCTAAAATGGTGGTGCCCAGCACTGTGCACAGTGCTCAAGATGAGGCCGCACCAATGCTGAATACAGCGGGATGATCCCCTCTTTTGACCGGCTGCTCATGCTGTGTTTGATGCACCCCAGGGTGCGGTTTGCCTTCTTGGCTATCAAGGCTCACTGCTCCCAACCACCACCCCCAGATCCCTTTCTGCAGGGCTGTTCTCCAGCCACTGGTCTCCCAGTTTATACTTGCACCTGCCATTAATCCATCCTAGGTGCAGAATCCAGCATTTCCACTTGTGAAATTTCATCCCATTAATCACTGCCTAATGCTCCAATCTATCTAGATCCCTCTGCAAGGCATCTTGTCCCTCAAGAGAGTCAACAGCACCTCCCAGTTTGGTATCACCAGCAAACTTGCTAAAGATCCATTCAACTCCTGCATCCAGATCGTTGATAAATATACTGAACAAGACTGGCCCTAGAACTGAGCCCTGAGGAGCGCTGCTGGTGACCGGTCACCAGCCAGATGCAGCCCCATTCACTACAAACAACCCTTTGAGCTCTGCCCTTCAGCCAGTTCTTCACCCAGCGCACCGTAAACCACCTCATCCCACAGTTGGACAACTTGTCCAGAAGGATGCTGTGACGGACAGTTATCAAAAGCCTTACTAACATCCAGAAAAACTACATCCACCTCCTCCCTTTCATCCACTAGGCAGGTGACCTTATCATAGAAGGGTATCAAATTAGTTAAACACGGCTTTCCCCTTGCAAACCCACGTTGACTGTGCCTGATGATTGCATAAATGCCTTTCAACAGTACCCAGTATAATCTTCATAATTTTTCCAGGAACTGAGGTTAGACTAACAAGTCTGTAGTTCCCTGGGTCTTCCCTCACACCCTTCTTGTAAACTGGAATAACACTGGCCAGCTTCCAGTCAGCAGGGACCTCCCCAGACTCCCAAGACCTTTGCTAGATGATAAAGAGGGGTCCTGCCATAACATCCGCTAGCTCCTTCAGAAGTCTGGGATGAAACCCATCAGGCCCCATGGGCTCGTGAACATTCAACTGATACAGCTGGTCCCTTATAATTTCAGTGTCCACAAATGGAAAGTCACTGTTCCCACACTCATGGTCTTCCAACTCAGGGGACTGGGCAGCCCAAGGTCTATCAGTATTACTAAAGACTAAGGCAAAAACCGCATTGAATGCCTCCACTTCTTCTTCATCCCTATTAATCAGATGACTATCTTCAACAAGTATCAGTCCAATGTTTTTTTTTAGACCTCCTCTTGCTATTAACATACTTTAAAAAGCCCTTTTTGTTACCTGAAACAACACTGTCCAGTTTCAACTCTAATTGAGCTTTGGCCTTTTGTGTCTTCTCCCTGCATAAACAAACCACAGCTTTGTACTCTTCCTGCGAAGCCTGACCTCACTTCCAGAGATCATACAGTTCCTTTTTCCTCTTGAGCTCCACGAGGAGTTCCCTGTTCAGCCAAGCTGGTCTTCTGCCCTTCTTGCTTGACTTAGACACAGTGGAATTGCCTGTTCCTGTGCTTAAAAGGTGGTTCTTAAAGACTGACCAGCACTTGTGGACTTCTAAGCCCTCAAAAACAGATTCCCAAGGCACTCTGCTAAATAGCTCCCTGAATAGGTTGAAGCTTGCTCTCCTGAAGTCCAGGGTAGCAACTCTGCTGTCCTTTTTTCTCATTACTCTCAACCATTTCATGATCACTGTGGCCAAGGCAGCCACCTACCATCACATCCCCCACAAGTCCTTCTCTATTCACAAATCGCAAGTCTAGGAGGGCATCTTTCCTAGTTGGCTCACTGAGTACCTGTGACAAGAAGTTATCTCCTACAAACTTCAAGAATTTCCAAGACCTGCTCATCAACACGTGTGTTGTGTTAAAGTAGCCTGAAAATCAGGGATCTTAATTGTGGAGGGTAGATCTGACCTTTCATGGTGTATGCACACTCCTCCCAGTCTGTGAACTCCTGGAAAAAAACCTACAACATACCCTACACACATGATGGTTTGGTTTTAATCTAGATTACATGGTATTCATGAATTTACAAAGAGCTCTCAAATAACAGTAATCACACTTCACAGGAGCCATGCAGTTAAACTCACATGCTTCAAATTCCTTCAATACTGGCCCAGAAAGCACACTGAGAACATGTACATCATCTTGGGAATTTCTCTCCCTTTTCTTTTGACCAGGTGACAAGAACACTTTCCATAATAGCTGTTTCCTGAAGAGTATTGCCAGTGTTAGGGCATGGAAGTAAAAATAAAAATATTAATAATTTAAAAAACAAACAAAAAAGCAGACCTCTCTCACTAGATCCTGGACAAGTAGAACCAGATGCAAACTGGAACCAGGATGCAAACTACCATTTTTGGGGTAGGATTAATTTTTAGCTGGATTCCCAAACCAGCTTGTTGTGCATTAGAAAAGCCCCAGGCTCAGCTGAAAGGAAGGG